CAGAGCCTTAAGGAATGCCAGTTTTTTTAGAGTGAACTGAAGGGAAGGAGCTTGGGAAGGATATTTCTGTGTAACAGCCACTGCCTGACATACAGCCTTCTGGTCTCTGCTGATAACAGTATCCCTTTTCCAATTCTTCAGTCCTCATTGTACCTTTTACCTGCCTCCTGAAGATACTTTCCTAAAATCGAAAACAAATCATGTGACTTACCACTGCATAAATCCCAGTTGGCGTCATATTTGTCTATAAAGCCAAATCTCATAAGTTTTTATCCAGATCCCACCCCTCAAAGATTAAATAGACGTTCTCACCTATTTTTGCCTTATCTTCTAAAACACTCTCCTTATTAAGCTGCCCTGCAGATGTATTTGTTATTGTTTTTAATTGGCACAATTAGTATCCAAAACTACAAATCATGATCAGGATGGTCTTCACTTTTTGGAGACAGAATCTCATTCTGTTGCCCAGGCTGAAGTGCAGTGGCACCATCTCAGCTCACTGCAACCTCCGACTCCTGGGTTCAAGCAATTCTCCTGCCTCAGCCTCCCTAGTAGCTGGGATTACAGGCACGTGGCATCAGTCCCAGCTAATTTTTGTATTTTTAGTAGAGACGGCGGTTTCACCTTGTTATTCGGGATGGTCTTGAACTCCTGACCTTGTGATCCATTTGCCTTGGCCTCCCAAAGTGCTAAGATTACAGGCCTGAGCCACCACGCCCAGTGGTCTTCACTTTTTGTTACAGTATGCTTCTAGAAACTGCACCTTAATATGTAATTTTTTCCCTTAAATAAGAGCATTATAATTGGAGGATTTAACATCAAGTAAACCAGATGCATTATCAGTAATAAATTCTGAAATCGGGCCAGGCCCAGTGGCTCATGCCCCTAATCCTAGCACTTTGGGAAGTTGGGGCAAGAGAATCACTTGAGGACAGGAGTTTGAGACTAACCTGGATGATATGGTGAAACCCACCTCTACTAAAAAATCAAAAAAATCAGCCAGACATGATGGTATACATCTGTAGTCCCAGCCACTTGAGAGACTGAGGCCATAGGTTGGCCTGAGCCCAGGAGATTAAGGCCGCAGTGAGCTATGATCACACCACTGCACTCCAGCCTACTCAGGCTACTCAGCCTACTGCAGAGCAAGACCCTGTCTCAATTAGAAAGTAAGTGAATAAACAAACATATACATACATACATTCTAAAGTCAAAGAAAACTTCAAACTTATGTGAATCTTTAAAATCATAAAATTCTGCTCCTGGAAACAGAATTGTAGCAATAAAAGAAACCTTTCTAGTCTTGTCTAGAGTTGTATAGTCCAGTAGTTTGTAAACTGTCATCTCTAGAGCCCTATTTTTCAGGGACCTGGGGGCCTAAGGGTGGGGAGCAGGGGGTGCCAGGCCATGCAAACCTAGCTTCACCCAGAGTAATTCTTATTTCACGTGTTTATACGTGAGACTTTCAAACAAAATATTAATTGAAAACAGTTTTGCCTTTAAATCCATTTGAAAAACACTAGTGTAACCAGTGTAACCTTCAGACTACTTCTGTAACCTTGGTAACTCTGGGCCTCCATTTCCTGGTCTATAAAATAAGAGAATGGTGCCATGCTGTTTATGTTTTTATTTTGAACCCCCATCCACTTTCAAGTGAAAAACAAAGACCCCAAGAGAGGCTAAGTGGCTTACTCGGGCCACATAGAGTTAATGACAGAACCAAGACAAGAATTTAACCACCCACCCTAGTTGTTGTTTTTCCTGTATTGCATTTTTTTAAAAAAAAATTCTTACAAAGTAGATATAAACAAACTATGAAATTATGTGGAAAATGTAGATCTATCATGAGGTATATAAGCAGCATGTAAAAATAGAGCTATACTGGCCAGGGGTGGTGGCTCACACCTCACCTATAATCTCAGCCCTTTGGGAAGCTAAGGCAGGTAGATCATGAGGTCCGGAGTTCGAGACCAGCCTGTGCAATATGATGAAACCCCATCTCTACTAAAAATTACAAAAATTAGCCAGGCGTGCTGGTGCACACCTTTAGTCCCAGCTACTCGGGAGGCTGAGGCAGGAGACTCACTTGAACCCAGGAGGGAGAGGTCACAGTGATCCAAGCTCGTACCACTGCACTCCAGCCTGGGTGACACAGTGAGACTCTATCTCAAAAAAATAAAAAATAGAGCTATACTGTATCATAAATTTGCCTTATTTAAATCTGGTGTGCTAGATGCAACATACATTGATTGAACATTTACCTAATTCTATATTCATTTTCAAGTTTATAAAAATATTTGGGGGAGTTGTTTGCATAGCTCATTTCTCTTTTACAAAGCTATATATGAGTAGTTTTCTTCCTTGTGAATTTTCAAATAATCAGTGGAAGCATTTAATCATTCCATTAATCATTTCTTTTATGTTAACTCTTATTGCATTTAAATTTAAAAGCATCTGGCTTTCCAAACCCTCAAGTTGTGAGGGTTTGGAAAACAAGAGTCTCTAGATTCTGGTCCTTTGACTGATCACTTTTGCTTTGCTCATTTTCCTCTCTTCATCCCCTCCTCTCCAAATCAAGGATATCCATGAAGAGAAAACAATGTCATAAAACAACTGTCTGAGAAGTGTGTGTGGAAAGGAGGGAAAGAAGGGCTGTCATGTCCTTGGCCTTGTCGATGGTGGGGGGTATTTGCAGGCTGATTGCACACCAGGCTTGAGGACTTTTTTGTTTAAAGGTAAAATAATACAAAACAGCTCACAGAGACACCTCCTTCTTCCCCCTGCTTCTGCCTCCATGAGTAACTACCCATATGACGTGCTGCTGCTGAGACCAAGGAATGAGTGAGTAAAGGTGTTTAGAAATTCAATGTTTGTCCTAGTTAAATAAGTAAGTGTTAAAACTTGGCAATTTGGATCCCCTATTAACTTAGGAGTCATATAATTTGAACACAGGCTAAGCCACCTCTGCATCATTAAAAAGGAGTTGATATGCCAGTTATGGGAATACACTAGTACAGTAGGAAAGATGGCAGGGACGATGTTTAACATACCTAGGACAAAGTTTCTGAGGACATCACAGCATCCATTTCACATGAACAGACTATTACAAGCAGAATTGGTAAGAGCTGCACATGGCAACATATTATTACTCATTTTTCCGGATAACAAAAATAATTAAAAGTAACATGGGCTTAACAGTGATATATAATTCAGTATGACTTCTCTCCCCTCAACCTCTGGAATAGGTTCAAATTGATGAGAATTTCTGATCAGAGCCCTCATGTAGAGTTCTTTTTTGAAAAGTTTTATCAAGTTTCATATATACCTATACTGATGGTAAGATGCTGATCTTGCTGTGGGCAAAGGGATAAAAATGGTACTGAGACCTTGTAACTAATAGCTGGGCGTGGAGGCGCACACCTGTAATCCCAGCAACTCAGATGGCTGAGGTGGGAGGATTGCTTGAGCCCAGGGGTTCAAGGCTGCAGTGAGCTATGATCATGCCACTGTACTCCAGCCTGAACAACAAAGCAAGTCTCCATCTCTTAAAAAAAAAAAAAAAAAGAAAAGAATAAAACATTTCACATTTAATTTGATTGCTGTGTTTAGAATTTATCTCACAAGTCTGGAAAGAAGCAGGATAATTTCTTTTACGATGGTGCTTTCTGGGGTTTTGATGGTTTTCTTTGCTTATTGCTCTATTGGGTGAGGGCAGTCTGAATTAGTAGTTGAATCTGATACTTCCTGTGTGTATGTACTTTTTTCTCAAACACGTTTTAACTGAGTCAGAGCAGTTCCATTGGTGGAGAAAAATCAAGGTGTCATTGGTTCTTTTTTTGTTCTACCAAATTGGGTCACTTATTACAACACTCACCTTTCACAGCAAAGTCTTCTTACTCTTTAATTCTTGTTTTATTATGCTTGACTTAAAGCTACACAGCTAGCAGTGATAATCACATAATTATGGTCCAGAAAAGCATAATATCCTCTTGAAATCTGTAAGAAAAGTAATACTTGTTTAAAGATAGTGCCGAATCTTGCTGAAGAATGATCTTGCAGAAAGCTGATTGCGAAGAAGGAAATCTAAAAAGGCCAGACAGGCTTCAGTAGAGATAACACTGGGAAAGCAATTACTCAAAAAAAGACTGAAAGAGAAGATTGCATTCCTTTTCTTTCATTTCATTTTGCTTTTATGTTTTCTGGATTATTGAAATAAGTAGGAACATGTGGTATATCTCTTTCATTTGTACAGTATTGAACTTTGACATAATAGCAATTCATATTTTCTTTGTGAATGTTAAACAGATCCTTTCCATAATATGATTATGTCTAAAAAAAACTTCGCAATTCACTTTATAGCAACGTTAGGTTGATTTATAGAATACTATATATCATATCAAACTCAATTGCCCACAATATACTTTAATTTGAAGTTAATGTTTCAGATTCTAAAGGAAGTATCCAACACTCAGAGTATAATTCAGTACCCCTTAAATTGCTTATTGTTTTTCTCATGGAGGTGCCATTAATAAAACAAGATATTCTGAACACATTTTGTAGATTTAAAGGGCTTTCAAATTCAAAATCTTGCATACAGTTCAATGTATATTACTGTGAAAATATAAAATCTACTCTAAAGAATATGAAGGAAAGATACGTGCTGAAAGATATATTTAGAGCTTAAGTAATACACCACATAGTATTGGGAGATTAAACTGATTCACAGTTGAGCTTTTTTTTTTTTTGTCACATATCTGGAAGCTGACTTTACTTATAAAGAGTGCTTAAACTCTCTGGAAAACTACTTCCTTGGTTTTTCATGGGAGCAAATATATTGTCCTGATAGAAATTTATGTTCAGGACAAGCATAGATAATCTTATTCAGAACAGGCATATGCTCTCCCCACTCAGGAAGGTGATGGGTTTTCAGCATGTGAATATTGACTGTGTTGTCTTTTCTCATTTTTTACTTACTACTTGCTTTGCTTCTTCTTTCACAGCAATCAATCCATAAGAACAAGTCCCAAGATTTCAGACTAGGCTCAGAATCTATGACACAGTAAGCAACTTCTTCAAATTAATTTGCCGTGATAAATGGTTGGGATTTTTTTTTAAGGACAATTTCTCCGTTTCTCATTTTTATAACATTATCAAACTATAAGTTAAATTTCAGATAGTTGATGTCAAAGGGGTTTGGCTTGTTTAAATTATGAGTATTTTAATAGTTGGACTCTGAGAATGTGTATTATTACAAAGTTATAAGAAATCCTGTTAAATGAATAACACACAAAACTTTAGAGGACCTATTTTGTCATTTATTTTTGTTTGAGTACTATTTTGAAGTAATATTAACTGAAAACAAATGAATGATGTGATGAAAGTAAAATTATGAATGCCGTTTTTGAAGCATTAAGGAAAAAGCTAATAAGCAGAACATTGTCATTATATATTTTCTATAAATGCTTAATCTATTTGAGTACTTTCTTTTGAGGTATTTATTTTCAAAGAACTCTGGAAAGTTTTTATATTTGCAATTAGTACTTGTTGTGTCACTTAATATACCCATAAAGTCGCTCTTTTACCTCAAAAAAATTTTACATCAAAAACCTTCCCAAAATATTTCTCAATTTTTATTACTTCAGATTATCTTTTGGATCTACCATTATGTCCAAACTTTATATTCACATTACATCACTAACAAAATATAACAGGAGTATAACAGCATTGAACAGCTTAGCCACATGCCCTCCCATCCCCTTCACCGCCACCCCTGCATGCATTTGCTGGGTGCTTGCTTACTCATACATGCACACAGACAATCCCTGCTGGGTTTCCTTGGAGAAAATATTTGTTCTTATTAACCCTGCTATATGCTTTGGCAATTTGAAGAATTATATGTCTCTTACAATACAAAAATTCTGCTTCCGATGACAGTTATTTATAGGAATTGTCTAATAAAACCATACAGCATTTCATAAGACAGTATTTCATTGTACAGATGAAAGACAAATGTAATTTTTAAGAGTCACAGAATCATAATCTAGAAGATACCTTAGAAATTCTTTCTATAATCTCTCTGTTTTATAGTTGAGAAAACTAAAGGGAAAGGGCTTGTGCAAATTTCACTGGGTATGTTTGTTAGCACTTGGACCAAGACCTAAATCTCCTGATTCCCAGACTACTGGCTTGTTGTTGTTGTTGTTGGTTTCCTTTTTAATCAGATTGAGTATTCACAGACTCCAAGGTAAGGTATCATTTTGTTGTAAGTTTTCTTTCTTTTCAAGAGAAAGAAACTATATATAGCCCTGTATAGCTTCAGAGCACATTCACTTGCATTATTACATTTGATTCTCAAGGATCCCTGGAAAAGGGACAGACCAGTATTCTGACCCTTGTTTTTCAAATGGAAAAACAAGATCTGAAAGGCTGTGGCTTGTCTCAGATTACTGCATGTGGTTCAGACCCAGTCCCAGAACACAGGGCCCCGATTTCAGTCTCTGGTTCTTCCCATGCCTTCCCTCTGCCTGTCACATGGTACAAGCACACACCCCAGGTTTTATGCTTTCTTGTTTTTCTGTTATCTGTCAAATGTGTTTTTAGTTCCAGTCTCTGGACAATTAAAATTTTACATAATAGTAGATAAACAGTCACTGACCACCAAGGAGCTTATACTCAACGGTAGATTACACATAGAAAAAATAGGCTAGAAACAATAAGGCCAGACGGTTTCAACAACCCAAAAAAAGACCCTGTTTAACACATCATGGGAACCATGCTCTTGGTGTCTTTGAATGTGTTTCATAAAAATGTTTAGAAATTGTTACTTAATATTATGCAAATGGAAAAATGTCCCCTGCATACACCTCACTTGGACTACATTTTATACGTGTTTTCACGAGATACAGAGATCCATGTCATGTCTTCCAGATTAAAGTTCAATAAAACCTCACAAGCATCTCAGCTTCTAAAGGATGTCAGGATAGCTCAGCTTCTCTTTTTGAAGATGATTCTGAAAATACAAATTTTCATGAGAAGTTCAGATATGTCTAAATGCCCAAGTTCATCTAAAGCTTTTGGACTTTCCCTACTTACAATTTCTTAGAAGTAAGGTTGAATTAAGATAGATTTCTCATGACTTGAAAACTGTAGGCGAGTTGATGGTGGAAACACTAGAGCCCAGTATGTACAAAGAAGTCATTTCTTTGATTTACCTAAATGAGTTTCTTGTACCCAAGTAAATGGACATAGGATAATTTTTTGTTTCTTTGCAGCCCTTTCAGTTTGTAACATTTGGTTATTAGATGGCTGACCAATATATGTAGATGAGCCACACAGCCTCTTATTACTTTCCACTTGAATTTCTTGTCGTTTTTTTTTTTTTGAAAAATGTCAATCACTTCTGTGCAAGCAGTTTACACACATTTTAGTAAAGCTACAGAAGAAATTTCTATAGGTTAATTTAACAAAGATATTTTCCTGAAAATCTTAAACTTCTACCTTTTGTACCTCATGCCCCATGGTGTTCTTCATATATTATCTGCTGCCTAAGTCTGAGTTGGTAATGAGGCTGCTGTAGGTAGTATTGTTCTTTAGTCACTAATATACTCTATATTAAATTTTGTTGGGTTTTTAACATAGCATTGTTTATTTCATTAACAGCTTTGTTCAGAGAGAGGTTAATTCATATAGTATATTATATTAAAGTCTTTTATTATACCCTGAAATCTGAACTAAATGAATGAAATCTCTTCTTAATATAATACAGCTATAAATGTCAATTCCAAGTATCCTATCACTCCACTATATATTTTTTCCATCTTTAAAGTAACCATTCTAGGCTCTTTCATTTCTGTTTTCTTTCTATGAGGAGGTAGTTTATAGTCCACATTTTTTATTCTAAAATAATCCTGCTACTCGCCACTTTTCTTCTAAATTTTTACTTTGATTATCCATTTTCTGCCTTTTTCTCACCCTCATCGCACCCCTAGATTCTGAAATTAAACCATTTATTGTCATGTGTGTGACCTCACAGTGTGCTCAGCAGTGAGGCAGATGCATTGAGAGATGCTAAAGAAGCATTACAGGTCAGATGAGGAAGTAGAAATAAGAAGCATTTAGAAGGCAACAAATTATATAATTAGGTGTAAAATGATGTGATGCAAATTGTACTTACAGAAGAGAGCTGAATGAGAAGGCAGGAGGAGTATCCATAGCTAGAGAAGGCTTCTAGACGAAGGTAAGGCTTCAATTGAGCTTTTGCCCTCCTCATGGGAGGGCATTTGGATGTGATGTGGGAAAGAACTAGCCTAAAGAACTAGCCTAAAGGAGCATACAGCTATGAAGAGAGGGGAGAGAGCGGGGAGAGACTGACTGATTAGTGACTTGGAGTTGGGGATTCATAGTAGGAGAAAAAAACAGGGTAGAGACTGTGGCTCTAGAATGCATTGTGTTTTGAGGGCAGCTGATGATTGGAAGGTGGGGCTAGGAGACATGTCTTGCTGTATTTGCCCAGCATTTTATAGGAGCCTGAACAAACATTATTTGTCTATATCAAGAATTTGGTCTTGTCCTAGACCTTGATGCTATTGCCATAAAGAGGAAGGATTAGGATCTGCCTTTCAAGATGTCAGTGGTTCATCTGTGAGCATCAGTCCAATTGGGAAAATGTGATCATCTGCTCTCTCTTCAAGGTGCTGTACTAGGCACTGAAATGCAGTGACAAGTGATAGGATAAACAACTTGTACATTGTAGAAGTGCCCAGTGTGGCAAGGAAGACAGACACAGAATACAGTCATTTGCTAAATATAGATTTGCTGAGCACCTACCATGTCACACCCAAAATTCTAGGCACTGGGGATTCAGCAGTAAACAGATAAAAATCCCTGCTCTAAGGAGCTAACGTTTTTACCTATATGCAAAATAAGTAAATGTCTAATTACACCAAATGTGTGCTACACTGTGGAGAAAAATACAGGATGGGTAGGGAAAAGGAGAGGTGACATGAAGGTTGCAGTTGTAAATAGGGGCGTGAGAGAAGGCCTCAGAAAAGTGGAAGGAGGCAGGGATCTGATTAATGTGAGTGTGTGGAAGACAAGTGCAGCATGCCCTGCAGCAGAAGCATGCCTTTTACCCTCAAAGAAAAGTAGGGAAATTAGGATTGAGTAGAGTAAGCAAGTGGGAGAGATCGAATAAAATCAGAGTCAGTAACAAGACATTGTATACTATTGTAAGACTTTTGGCTTTTATACCAAGTGAAATAAGAAGCCATTAAACAGAGGAAGTGACTTACAATTTAACAGAATCCCTCTGCCATTTAAGATAAGAATAGACATTAATGGACAAGGGTTGAATCAGAGAGACCAGTTAAAATAATATTGAAATTATCCAGGTGAGCCTTGGTGGTGGTGCCTTGAAGAAAGATGGGAGCAATGAAGTTAGTGAGAAGAGGTCAGATTTTGTGTGTACATGTGTATTTCTAACTTAGAGAGAGATATACTTGATATAAAATAAATTACACATATTTAAAGACATGGTTTAAGTTTCGAGATGGGATATGCCCATTAACCATCACCACAATTAAGGTAATGAGCATACCCATCTCTCCAAGACTTCTGATGCTCTTTTGTAATTTTGCCCTCCTGTATCTTTCTCTCCTTCCCTAAACCCCATCCCCTGATAATCACTGATCTACTTTCTCTCACTGTCTAGAGTTTTAAATACCACGGTTTGTTTATTCATATACCTTTGTTGATGGACCTTTGAATCATTTCCACTTTGCGGCTGCTACAAATAAAGCTAATGTCAACGTTTATGTGCAAGTCTTTGTGGCTACTACAAATAAAGCTAGTATCAACATTTATGTACGAGTCTCTGTATGGACATATGGGGTTTTTTTTGTTTGTTTGTTTTAACATCATATCACTGAAAGAGGCTTTGAAGAAGGCTATGCTTTCATTTTTCTTGGGTGACACCTAGGAGTAGAATGGCTGGATTATATAGTTGTTTATGCTTGACATTTTAAGAAACTGCCAAATTGTTTTCCATACGATGGTACCATT